GATGCATACAGTTCTGAGGAATCTCCAGTTCTCTAAACTCTGAAGCAGCAGGAAAAAGGACTTATCCACATATTTGAAAACAGCAAGAAGCAGACAAGAAATTGCTCGAGTCATAGGAACTCTAAAGCAGTACTATCTCCAGTTAAAAAAGCATGCAAGCAGAAAAGCAGGACAAAATCACATTTATGCAGTATGTTCTTAGCTATATCAAGATCCTCCTTTTGATATAGTACGGCCAATACCAGTATATACTATGACAGAGGAACACCAGCCTTCTGTGAAGAGTGACAAATAAACAATTTGAAAGAGATTGGCAGAATCAGTCATTTAGATTCAAAAAAGACCTTCAAGATCATAGAAGTCCACCGCTAAATCCCTTATCACAGAAACTATCTAAAAAATTATTTTTTTTTTTCAGCTTCCATCTTTGAAATTTATTTAAAAATAAGTCCATTAACAGCATTTTTAACACTTTTTTAAAAATATATTTTGGAAAAGCTAGATTAAAGAAGTGAGATAAATTTCACTCAAGAATTTGTTCTCATTTGAATGGCTTATGGCAGTTAGTTCTGGGTGGTCAGACAGCTGCCAAGACAGTTCTCATCTTCAGCACTGTGGTAATAGTTTGACATTTCCAAAGGACTATCACTGTCAGAGGACATCATCACTACGCAGCACAAGGTGATCTTCTAGACAGCTGGAGTTATATCAAGAGTTTTCAAAAGTAGAGGCAAGCTTTGAAACTTTACTCTCATTTCAGTAGCCAATAGATCATTAGTGTAATGCACTCTTTGTGTTGTTGTACTAGGTGGTGTTGAACTGAATTTAAGACTTACTTTTAAGTAGGCTGCAACATCATACGACCCCGTAAGATAATGTAGGTAATATCATGTTCTAATCATTACAGACAGGATAAGGGTAGGAAGAGTACTTAGCATACACAAGTGAATATTAAAATCTAGTGATATCATCTTAGTTTAAGCTGAGGTATCTGTTAGAAGAATAGAAAATATACTGGATGTACAAGGCAGAGATGAGTCTGGGCTTTGCACTGACAAAAAGAACCAACAGAAGCAAACCTATTGAAAAGTGGCCAGACATCTTTATTTTACTCCTTAGTTTCCATGGAATTAAATTCCATGAATATTATTTCCATGTCTGAAAAGCAAAACACGAGACTAAGCAACAGATTACCCACAAGCTCATGAAAGAAAGCAGTTAACACCAACCTTTGAAATTTTTATCTGAAGAGTAATATCAGAACAGTTACATTAAATAGTACACACAACACTTAAAAATAACTACTATCTAGAGCAAACAACATCTACAGCAGATTGCAGGGAATTCCAGATCAGCAGAGGCTCCATTACTTCTGAAATGAGCTCTCTTGCTAAGTTAGCCACAGGAATACAAGATTACAGTCTCGTCTTGAAGAGAAGGTTGCTTCTCAGCTAGGTGTATTGCACATCACACTGAACTTCAGCCTCTGAGTTAGTACATTCATCCAGTCTTTTACCTTGATGCACAGACATGGTTTGGGTTGACACATGCTTCTGCATCTCCAGACTGCACTGTCAACAAGTGTAAAGATGGCATGAGAATAGATGTTTAACAGAAACATCAATTCAACAGCTTTCAAAGGCACACACATCTCTAGGGTCCCAGAAACAGATGGACTCCTGATAGACCATGCTTAACAAAATTAAGACAGGAAAACTTCTATACATAAGAGATCTTAATTAAATTGTAAACTCACACAGCTAACCTCTTTACAGAAACTCCCCACCACAGTTGCCAAATGCTATTAAAGCCCTATATGGGTTTATTAAAAGATTGTATTTCAGATAGAAGGCTTTATCCTGAAGGACAGGTAAGGAATAAGAGAAAGATTTAGGTGCAGAAGTCATAAAGCTTAAAATATATAAGTGAAAAAATAGTATGAATCTTTGACTCTGGGATGTGGTTTAGGTTTTATATCATCCAATAATATAATATTTATTATTTATGCTTTTTATTTTATTATTTTATGTTTTTATTTATTATTTATATTATTAAATGTGTTTATTATATTCATATTTATGAATCTTTGAAGGTTGGTGGCCCTGCCTGTAGTAGCGGGGTTGGAACTTGATGATCCTCAGGGCCCGTTCCAACCCAAGCCATTCTATGATTTATTAGTCTAAGGATTTTTAGAAACTTTAGAAACAGAACACCTGAAGAGATACCAGCCGATATATTTTCAGAAGCTGGAATGTTGTTAGACATTATTATTAACTATCTACAATAGCTGTTTCTTCTGAGAGAAACTTCAGAAACTAACTCATTCTTTATACATTTCATTCAGAAAAAGAATTTTTGTCAAGGTTTCAAGTTCTTTGATATGTGTCAGAAAATATTTACAAACACCAACAATGTCAAATTCCTTCGGAAAGAATAAAATAGTTGGTATATCACTTGGTATATCCCTTGCACACATTTTAAGGCCTCAGGATCAAGATGTAATGCAAGTCAGGTGACCAAGAGGAGTTAAAAAGTTTCTCATTTATTTTGCTCTTCCTTCACCTAACTTGTTTTAAATGGCAATGAATGGGGTTTGGGGGGTAGAGGGCTGTTATTTCATGCGAACTACAAGACTTCCTTCCTAAAAACATGTGAATGACATTATTTATTATGTTTTTAAAGCAATGTAGGTTTGTTACCTATTGTGTTACAATATTACTGAATTCTGTTTCTTCAGACTTTTAAAACTAAGTTCAGTTGACCAGATAATTATTACGTAGTAAATATTTTTGTTCTCATAACTTCCTAGCAGTGGCTACATCTGAAACAAGGATAGTTGTTGAAAGTTGTTTCTTTGAACTGCTTTTGTCTTTGAGGATCATCATGTTAAATCTAGTGTTGTTTTTTCTCATAGGTTGAATAAGTACATAAAGATATGTACCTATATATATAAATCAGGTATTAAATAAAAAGTCTCTATATGTATTCAGTTGCTCAGTCCATATGTGAAAATTATTAAAAAATTAAAAGATAAATTTCAAAACTATATGTTGTTAACCATACAGTCAACATTTCTCTGAAATTTGAATTTGCTCTATCATATCACAATTCCCCTAGCAACTAGTCACATTCCACTGGTTTAAAATTTGCATTGTGAAAGATGAAGAAGCACAGGAAGATAACTGATCTTGTGTCTTCTCTCTGATGACAAATAAATTAAGGGCAAACCCCCAAAACCCAAAGATGAGTTCAGTAGGAAGTGACCCAATAAGAGGAATTAAATTTGTCAGAACAAAAGAACACCTACAGAAGCTGGTCACCCTGGACATACTTTGTTCTCAATAGTGAGAAATCAACACATCAGATACATAACAGACATCCAAGGGTAGAAGAGGTGAAACTCAACTTTCATTCTGCTGTAATTATTAACAGTCACAAAATAGATGCAATAGTTCAAGTATCAGCCTTCTTGAAGTTTAAAGGAAGAGTCAGCAGAATCATTATATAATAATTTTGTAGACACACTATGTCTGATAAAAATATTTGCCTGTAATATTTCATCAAATGCAAAGTTACTGTGTAGAAACTATAAGAGGTTGACAGATGCCAAGAGCTGTGAGGTTGTTGAATAGAATAGTATTTCTGGAACTGTGCCCAGAGTGGAGGCAAAATTTGACTCATCCTCACGCATACATTTGCAGTATATCTCTAAACTAAATAAGGATTTAACTCCATCACAAGGTTCTAATAATATCATGTCAGAGCTAGGAATTGATGATAATATCAACAGAGGCTAAGGAACTCCAGACAAATGGGCAATCTTGCTATAGCTGTATTCACTGAGACACCTGTGACCTCGAGTCGTGTTGTCCCAGACTGTACATAGATGTTAGCAATTAATTATAATTTGATCACCATTTTGTTTATTTTTATTACTTCAGAGGATATTATCAAATACCACAGTGAGGAGACATTTAGGAACTGCAGAACAGGGATTAACTAAATCAGGACTGATTAATTCATATCTATTTTTGCTTTCATGTTTTTCAGCTAGCAATCTTCCAACAAAAACAGTGAAAACAATTTAAGAGCGAGAAGCAAGGGAAATACAGAAATTGCATGACATATACATGACAATTCCATTCTGCTTGCATTTTAATACATACTTATTGGATCTTCACCTGTCTTGCACATTCAAACTGTAAGCTTCTTCAGATCCATCCTGTCACTTATTGTACGCTCATGTATTTTTTAGCACAATGTGAATCCCAGTCTCAACTAAGATTTTAGGCATCATTATGATAAAAGCAGTAATAAGAAATATCTTCATGCAGATAAGTAACTAATATATCACTGCTTGGATTGGTTATGATTTGGTCTGCATGATGAAAAGATCAGTAAATAATCTGGAAATTGAAGTTGTTGTTGTTGTTTTTTTTTTTTTTTTTTTTTTTAGATAACTGGAGTACCACTTTCTCAAAGTATCACAGAATCCGTCAGAATTGCTCCAAGCAAGCCCACAAGCTCTAGAGACTGTTTCTTGCATATATGTAACTTGATGCCAATACTGCTCCTCTAATCAACCAGGTTTTAAAAACGCTTTTACTTTTACTGAGAAAATATGTTTTGTAATTTTTCAGTTACCCTGTTCAACTGCTTCTCTGGAATTTTAAGAAGTATTGATGAACAACAACACAATGAGAAATTTACCAACACGTGCTCTTCACAATATGATATTGCACCAGCTTTAGTTACAAGGCTTAAATTAGCCAGCTGAATTACAATATGGTGGCATATAGCAACAGACAGCAATGAGAAAAAGGCTCAGTAAGAGAAGGAAGTTCATAGCTTCCAACATTAAAACAGCATTAGAGTAACAATAGATATTGTGGCTATTGTGGTAGAATACTGCCTTTTATTATCACTACACAGGAAAACAACAGTTCAAAAGGTTCTTTTTTTGGACAGTAAATAACCCAAAATGCAACATTTGCTCTTACCATTGAGAAGCCAATGAGGTAAATATATCAGTGGTTTCAGGCTCTTGGAATAGTTTCAACAGTTCTGGTTCAGCTGATAAGTCAGCAAGGATCCTTAATTCAATTTGTGAAAAATCTAGAAAAAGTGTCAGAATAAATCAATTGCTCTAAAATAAAAATATTCAAAGTATAAATGTGTATATATGTATATATATATATATATATATATATGCTATATTATATATATTATACACTATGTATAAAATAAAAATTTACTACTACAATTTTTTTTTTCTCAAAAACAAGAAAAACACTAAAAAGCAGGAGAACAAACAGCTGTAGAAAGTGCATCCTTAAAAAGTCCAGCTACAGATTACAAAATACCTGGCTCCATTATTACCTTCAGGTGTCAAATCATTTAATTAGCTCTTTGTTGCTACGTACAAGCATTACAAATAACCCACTTCGAAACCACACTAAGGAGCATACATCATATAACAATGTTAATTGATGCTGAGGGATTTTATAGCCTTTTAAAATAAAATGCCATGCAAAGAAGATGAGAAGAAAAGATCACAGAATGGAGAATATTAATGAGAATATTAATATGTATGAGAATAATAATACATGTTATCTTACCTGCTGCTAAAAACGTATATCCTTTCTTTGAAACAAATAGTGCTCGTGGGGAAATGGTTACTATTTCCTCCTCTCTTCCTAGAGAGGAAGTTGACAAATGTGGATCCCAATCCAAAAATAGCATTGCAAACCACAGCAGGTTGTAAATGCCTCACCCAACACAAAAATACACAAATGACAACGTAAATATCCTACCAACTTCCAGCAACACAGTGATTTTACTCATCATTCACGTGCAGCATCTCCACTATCCTTGCATTACCACTCATTCCTCCTTCTCCCCTTTCTCCCCCCCAAACCCTTCCCAAAACTGCAGCTAACAAGCAATTGCAATAAATAACATAATTTAGAGGTCACTTAATAAAAAGAGACATGCAAGTAAGAAAGGTTCTATAGAGCTGATCTACATATAAAAAGTGTTGTTTTTTTTTTTTATATATGCTGCTTCAATGTGTTAGGAAACAAATTCTGAGTTACAGGAGGTAAAGGAGTACAATATTAAGAACACAGCTGACACAGGCATCCAAGTGCTAATGAATTAAGCTCTCTACAATATAAAAAGCAATAATATACATCGACACTGTATTAAAACAGTATATGCTCAGAAACTACTTATTTGTCATGGTGTAAAAAACAATTATTTCATACAACCATAATTCATCTGATCAGAGATTACTGACAGCTGATAGTATGAAAGTGAGGGAAATAAATGCCTCAATATAGGAATGAAAGACACAAATGTTTTCTGAGAAGCACATAAGATCACTAACAAACTTAATTGAATTATTTCCAAAACAGCCTATGTGCCACTGTTAAGCACTGTGCCACAGATTTACACAGCTACTGTTCACTCTTTTAAAAAACACTTAAAAACCCAGCAATATAAAAATAACTCAGGGAGATAAAATAGAAGTACCGTTGAATTTTAACACTGTTTTTAAACATTCTCCTGTCCTGATTTGTATTATATCAGTTGGAGGGACAGACTAGCTGTGAAAAGGAAAGCCTGCTCTTACTATGCAACAAACAACAATTCCCAGCCATAAGTGCTCGGAAAGCTTATCTGGCAAATCTCTCCTATTAGAGTCTACTTACATGACTTTCTGACTTCATCACTTAGGTCATGATTTTCTACACTCTGAATCATCTCCCTTAAATCCAATTCCATTACCAAAACCAACAGATCTGAATAACTACTGGCGATTAGTTGTGAGCTTGATTAAAATACCCAAGCTTTAGCATCTCCTTGGGAAAAACCTTATGAGCCGAATGCACACAAATACCCCTAGAATGTTTAAAAGATGTATAATTTGCAGCTGGAACAGAAGGAATAGTGAGACTGTACAGGGAAAGAAAATTCTAAATGTTTGAGACTATTCATATCGGTACTGAAACAGCAAACTTCTCTCAAGCAGAATGAGCAAAAAGCAATTTTGTTAAATGTTAAGGTACAATTGTCCATCAATAATCCATTCTGCTCTTTTGTGTTGGAGCTTTTGGTCTGCCTCAAAATAAAATAACCCAGTAAGATAAGGAGATGAAATTCACTTTTCATGTTTATATTAACATAGTTTACCTTTTATGTACTGTTTCTTTTTAATTCTCACTGGATGTTTAGAGATACCTTGAATGTTCTACAAATAAGAACAAAAACTGCTTAGTACGTGAAAGTTTATAGCAATATTTACGAACAGTTTATAGGAAGCATGGAAACATTGGTGATATTAATGCCAACAAGTTTTTTGTCATAAGATTTAACTTTTTGTCTTTTGAAGGAATCTTCCCCGTTCTGTACCAAGCTCTTTCGAATATTTGACCTTCCTTGACAATAGGAATTGCATAAGATCAATTTCTCACCTGCAAATTTTACAAATGCTGGTTTCTGGGCACATGATAGAACAGAATCAGTAGCGCTTTTTTTTTTTCTTTCTAATTTTACCCTGCATTTTTCTATATGGAGCATTACTTTCAAGAGGAAAACACATACAAACTCTGCCTTAACCTAAGCAAAGGTATTCTCCTCCAGCCCCTAAACATTTCCCTAACTTCTATTCTCACTGTTTTGAAAAACATAAAATAGGTTTGTTTGTTAAATACCCCATATCAGTCGAAGTTAAAAATGAGCAGTAAGTTTATCAACAAGCACAATTCAGGACAGAAGATCACTAGACCTTTGTTTAAAGATTCATGCTCACACATCTACAGTAAAGTATGAAATATGTCACATAGCAGCTTCCTTCTGTTGTGTCATTATGCTTCCTTGTCTAGAAAGGTAACATACAACAAGAGAAAAATGTGTATGAATCTCAATTTTCCTAATTCCAAGCAATTCATTTGCAAGTGGTTCAGGAATTAGATGAAAATACTACATAATAATGTAAATTCAGACAAAGGGATGAGTACTATACAATTTCCTAATAAGCAAACTACATTTGCTATATAATTTTAGCTGAAAGTCATTACACATCCCTAAGAGGGAAGTAATCAAACAGCAAAAGTTATTAAAATTTGAAGTGGAAGTAAAAGAACAAAGCCCCAGATTGGAGCATGATCATTTCTAGTCTATCACCCTTAAAGAACCACAGACAATGTATTGAAGTTGAACCTCCACCATCGCACCATACACAGAGAGAAAACTACTACATAATTCACGTAATACTTTCATAGTGAAGGTCAAGTAGGAACACAGCTCTAAACCCATCAACAAGAAACACTTGCCTTAATATTCTTTAATATTCGTTAATATTCTTCAGTTTCAGTTGTGTTAATGCTTGCAATGCTATATGAGTACATTTTGAAAGGAAGAGTTACTTGCTTAGGACATAACACCAACATTTTTATTAATGATTTCCAACAACAACAACAACAACAAAAAATAACAGAAAACATGAGGAGGATCAGTGCTTGCTTATATGAAGAACATAAAAAATAAGTGGCCATGGAAGCAAGTGATCCTCAGAAATTTAGAAAATTAAGTCTTCCCTTTACGCAGCCAGACTTGAATTTGGGAACCTAATTTTTCCACATTTAAAAACAACTAAAAACACTGAAGTTATAAAAATTTAATTTTGACTTCAATCATTCTAATGCACATTATGCAGCACGTTATGGAGTTTTCATCAGGGTTTATACTGGCAATAACATTTGCTTAATATAACTTCCAGCACAGAGCTGTTTATGGTTACAATCACTGATTATGTTCTTTAGCTCATCAGATTCAAAATTCCTAACAAGGTAAAGTGAGGATTTTAAAATCTTATAATTGCAAAATAAATCACTGTACTGCCATTTTGATTTCACTGCAAGTATATGCAGGAAGCCTGCTTTTAAAGCAGTTTTAGATGTGTTACAAATAATTTTGAAAAACATAATTGCAAGTGCAAAATGTACTTTCACTTGTAAATTAGTTAACAACTCAAAATTTAAGTAAATCTTCAGAGAAAAATAGAAGCCTGGGAAACATGAAAGTGATAACGATCACCTTTAAGATACTGGAACAGATTAATAGATGCCTCTCACCTAAGTTTAAGCATCTTTAAGTTAGTTTTTGGTTTAACTAGCTGTCTAGAATCCCTCTATAGACAGTAGACAAATACAGGAATCTCCAGACGCAGTTATAACAGGTTGACCTAAGTCTTCCCTGAAAGTGATGTTTTCTAAGATTTTAGATATTCAAAGTTCACGAGATACATTTATTATAGATATTTTAAATGATGGACTAAAATGAAAACCTTGAGTTGGATAATTAGATGACTGTATTATTATAATCAAAAGCAGTGATGCGGCTTTGGTAAATAATTACAACAACCCTGGACTACATAACAAAACCTGTATTTATGCTTCATGTATTTATATCAAGAGAAAATAAACAAGTATTTCTGAAAAACTTCACAGATCCAATCTGAGATGTGACTGCTGGCCCTGTTAGAAAAATGACCACGCGTAATGTTAGAAGTTACACAGAAACAAAGCTGCCCTCCTGATAGCGCTCCAAAGAAAAGAAATGTACCTGAAAGAGTAATAGGAAAGATGTCTGTGACAGATAACAATTAATGCTTCACTAATCCTGGGTGAAAAATACAAAATGAAATCAAACTATTCTAGTGGATGATTAATAAGGATCCCCTAGCAATAATTAAAAAAAATATAAATCAGTAGTTGCAAAGAAATTGATTCTCCTGACTCAGTTTTGTTAATGAAAAATCCTTTTATATATATAAAATCCTTTTATATATATTAAAATATTTAAAAAAACATTTTCAGAGGTTCCAATAGATAGAAGGATAAATGAGACAGATTATAGATTCACAGGATCACAGAATGGTTTGGATCAGAAAGAATCTTAGAGAATACATGGTTCTAACCACTTAGCTGTGGGCAGTGTTGCCCAGGTTTGAAGTATCCTGATGATCAGAAGACATACCTGAATACTGAATGAAAACAAGTGCCATCTTCCAAGGAGGCCAGAAAAGAGAAAACTACAGGCTAGACAGATCCTCCTCAATTTCTCAAATTAATCCTGGAAACTATTTGTGAACATGTTAAAGTCAAGAAGATGATCCAGAGTAGTCAGCATGAGGGAAATCATGCTTAAGCAATGATAACCTCTGTGATGAAATGACTAACTTAGTGGATGAAGGGAGAGCAGCAGATGTTGTTTACCTTGATGTTAAGCACAGCTTTCAAAACAGCCTCTCATAAAAGCCTCATAGACACACAGATGAAGTACAAGCTAGATAAGCAGATAGTGAGGTGGACAGAAAACTGGTTGAAGTGTCAGGCTCAAAGGGCTGTGACAGGCAGCACAAAATCCAGCTGGAGGCCAGGCACTAGTAGAGTGCCCCAGTGGCCAGTACTGCTCAACACCTCTGTTAGTGACCTAGATAACAGGACAGAGAGCAATCTCAGCAAGACAGTAGGCAATACAGAACTGAGAGGGGTGGCTGATGCAGAAGATGGCTGCACTGCCACACAAAGGAACCTCAACTGATTGGAGAAATGGGCCACAAAGAATAGAAAAGAATAAACAAACTTCGTGCATGCAGGGAGGAATAACACCATGTGCTAGGGTACTTTGGGAACTGACAGCCTGAAAAACAGCTTTGGAGAACAGGACCTGAACATTCTGGTGAAAAAACAAGTTGAAAATGAGCCAGCAGAAAGCCTTTGCGCCTAGGAAAGCCAGCAGCAAATTGGAGTCCATCAGGAAAAACATTGCCAGCAGTAAAGACAGGTGAGCCTTCCCTCTGCTCAGCACTAGTAAGATACATGGATTGCTGGGTTCAGTTCTGGGCTCCCAGTAGAAGGGAGACATGGACATATTGGAGAGAGTCCAGTCAAAGCATCACTAACATAATCCAGGGCCTGGACTATATGTCATATGAACAGTGGCTGACAGAGCTATTTGTCCTTGAGAAGAAAAGGCTCAGCAGAGGACATCATCCATACAAATACCTGCTCAGTGGCAAGGTGTAAAGAAGACGGAGCCAGATTCTCCTCACTGGTATCATGCAATGGCAGAAAGAAGCAGTGGGAAGACAAATACAGGAAATGCCACTTAAAGTGTGCTCATACACCAGTACAGGCTGTGCTACCTCCAGCCCTGGAGACATTCAAACCACGACCTGAGAAATCTACTTTAGTGGACCTTGCATAGTATGTGGGGGGTTGGACTAGATGATCTCTAGAAGTTCAATCCAAAGTCAATGATGCTGTGATTCTATGATTTTGTTTTTATAACATCAGTGTTATTGATTAATCTATGTAAAGTAGCGCCGAACAGTAGAGAGAGTCTCCTCTTCACATGATTTCCTGCTGAGCTAGAATTGAGGCCTTCAATTAAATGAGACAGTGGAAAAACATTTGCCTAGGGGTCAAAACATAGTCCTTTTTTTAAGCATATAGAGAACATTTATATTTTAATGCTAAAACACACCAAATTTTAAAGAAAAAATACTTCGCAGAAATTATCAGTTTTGACACTGCATCTTAAAATGCAACTGAGAAGGTAGATATTTTCTTGATTATGAAAAATGTATATAAAAGTATATCAAACTTCCAAAATAATTTTGGTAAAACTACAGTATAATTCATGGGAACTACTTAACTGAATACATGGAAACTTCCTTTTTTTTTTTTTTAAATGATTTTGATAAAGAATAGAAAGCTGAAAAGGCACAGCCTTACAACAGCACACTTTTCATCCAGAGTTGAACTCCCCAAAACCAAAAAACAAGCAGCAGAAGCAGGGAACATACAAGTGGCAAGAAAAAAAAACTTAAAAATAATTTGTCACTATAGACACTAGATTAAAGCTGTACATGCTATTCCTGATTTCTTTCCTGCTAACTCTTTCATCTGCTCTCATTGCTACTATAATCTATCCTGACTACTAGTCCTGAGCCATTCCTTACGCTTTTGGTATAGCACAGGTTAGAAATCTGTTTTCGTGGTCCTGAGAATGCCTCTATTAAAAGCTGTTATACTTTAGTCTATTGCTACAGGTGAAGACGTTGTAGACCGTTGCCTCTGCATGAAGAGGCATTCAGAAAGAATGACAGTCTCTCCTCCAGGAAGAACACTCAGAATTGATGGACTTTTGGTGTCTCTGATACAGCCTAAAATACACAACTTTTTCATACAGTTTTCAACCAGAGGAAAGTAGACTTATCAACAAAAACAACGCAATCAAAATTCCACACACACCATGTTGTTCCCATTTCGATGGGTATATCCTCAATTGTTTAAAATTCATTAAGCTTTCCATTTTTGGTCTCCAAGTCCTACTTTTACATTTCAAACTGATTTTATAAACAAACTTGAATCTTTCTTAGATTAAACAGTATGTCCTTTTAGGTCTTTCACAAGATTATATACTGACTACAGTAACTTTCAAGTCAATGAGGTTAGAAAACTCTGAATCACAGAGATACAATTTCATTATTTCATACTCTTTGTCAATTTCAACTCTTTGGTTGTTGCTTCTTTTTGATGTTATATTCCCCTTTCATTTATTTCTATCAGTGAAGCTAGCCTCTATCATACACACTTATAGCAGCAGAAATTGTTGTTATTTTTGTCTTTTTTTTTTTTTAAATAAGCCAGCAACCTTCATCAACACTGGTAACTCCCTAGAAATAAATGGGTATATAAACACAGTGACATCTATATTCATGCGTATATTTTTATCAGAAAGTTACTAGTCATCTATCAGCATTCATCTACTAACTGCTCAGATCTGCATGCTTTTAAAGTATGCAATATGCAACAGTAAAAAGCTTGTAAGTTATTGAAACAAATGTGAATGAACAGAAACGTTGGTAGAATATGGACATTTGATTCTGATTAATTTTCGCACTCATCTAAGGTCTTAATTAAAAATAAGAACAGAGACCAAACTTACTCAGTGAGGTAAAATTATCTATTCATAAATTAATTTGGTGTGGTTACATCACGAGTGAAGACCAAAAGCTGCCAAGGAGTCAGATGGAGCAGATCTAGGGAACCAACCTTTTTTCCCAGCTGTCAGTTCTTACTTGCAATGCAGTTCACCAAAACTGTCTGGCAAGTGTCTCACTGAGAAGTTATACAGCAGAAAAACTGCTATACTTAGATACTTCTAAGGGCAATAATTATTGTTGCACAGAAATAATTATTTTCTGCAACTTCCTTCTGAGACAATTTTAAGATACTCCAAAGATCTAATTTTTAAAATGTACGTCTCAATAAGTAGAGAAAATATGGAAATGAAGGCCATGAAAGCAATATTATTCTGCATACATACATTCCTAAGCAAGTCTTGACTTATCTGCAATTGCCACCTAGTGGCTACTTAAAAACCAAACACATTCATTTTCCTGATTAAAGAACATTCAATCACACAAGCTTCCAGGAAAGGACTTCTTAACTTTTGGTACTAGTTACTGTTTTCATCAATAGTCAATCATTCAAAGGTGATGCATCAATCCCCTCCTGCCTTAACCAGCAGCACAGAGTTGAAGGGTTTAAGTTCCGTTGGTCAAGTGAGAGACTTGGAAATAATTCAATATCTTTCCACAAGCTTAAGCAACTTTCAGAGTTAATACAAGGGAAGAAGAAAACAACCACCAAAAATACCCAGTTCTCATTTTTTTGAGTTGACCATAAGACAGTATTAAATATGAAACATAAATAACCATTGACTCTTTTTCCTCACAAAGAGGAAAAGACATTTCTTGATTTGGTAGAAGTAGCATTTAAATATGAGCTCCCACCAGCCACAGGCAGCAGCTGCTAATGGTTAACAGAGGAGAACTAAGGACAGCAAGACTGCACAGAAGTCAGCAAGATGACCTCCGTCCTATTCCATCTATCTCCAGTGATCCTCACATGAGGCATTATGTATTTTTTCTTCCAAACTCGAGAGAACACATCTGTCCCCAAAACTCTGGGGGAAATTTCGTGACAGCTCATGAAAGGATGCTGACAACTGGCAAGTTTTCCACTCATTCACACAGAAAAAACAGTCAACTGAGAAAGACCACTGTAAAAGGGACGTAGAATTAGAGACATCATTGGCTTCCTTCAGAATTTCAGAAAATGACAAAGCGTTCAAAAAGCAACAGTCTGAAAACTCAATCATCCAAGAGAAGAAGCGTCTCTTGCTATGCCTAAATTTTGATCTTCCCCTATAAATCTATTCTCTTTTTATCATTCATTTCTCCCTTTTTCTTTTTTTTTTTCTTGTCAGAAATCAAAGCTTTTAAAGAATTTTTTTTTCTGAGTGAGAAACAGGAAGAATACATGATATTTTTGTTGTATTAAACTAATGAAGCTTATTCTGAGATCAGAATTACATTACATACTGCCCTTGCAAACAGTAATTCACCAGAAAAGAACATGCTAATACTTCTAACTTTTGAGATTCTACAAGACAAGATGTAATCTGTGCACTTGAATTACATTTAAATTATTATTATTGCCTTCTCATAAAACGAGCCTCCAAGCTTTGACTGATTTACAGAAATATATTCCTAGAAATCCCACTGTTGGAATACTTTATGCAAAGAACAGAACATCTTCAAGCAGGACTTCAAAATTTTCATCAATGCACAGACAGGTACCAGCAGACAACTTCCTAAAAAAATGGCACACATTTACACTAACGTGAAGATAGAATTACTTTTGCAGATGGCTAGAGACTCAATTATTTGAGCAACTAACTTACAGATGAGGACAGTGAAAATGAATTCAGTAAGTTACGAGCTCAATTAGACTCCTCCGTGTGGATGTGGAGGTACAGCAACTGAGCGTATTCTGCGACTCGATGATGCTAACAGATGCCAGTAACAGAAAGCATAACACACCCATACAGGAGTTGAAGCTTGAATGAATGAACAGTGGAAAAACAAAAACTGAGGCAGATTAGAAGTGAATAGCCTGTTTGTCTCTTGTAATGAAAATATCATACCAACATTGCTCTTCAGTTACTATAAAATTGCATGGAATAAGACTTTACAGAGTTTCAAGAAGCACAACTCAGAATACAGATAATCTTTCTTCTGTGGCACAGTACTCTCATTTATTATTATCACTATAACTACTTAAAAAACAACTTGTAATTTGTATCAGAAACTACATAGCTAAAAAACTACTGATGTAAAGAAAGATGATGTTAAGCTCCTGCTGTCACCCACAAGCTTCTGTCATATTCATATCAGAAAAAAACACAGCTAGTTTTACCAACTGTGTTTCAACATAGATTTCTAAAAGGCAATCAGTGCATAGCTTTGGAACCTGCAGCCATTCTAAAACATCTCTGGTGAAAGCCACTCAAACGATCAAAATGATTCAGCACACATCCAACTGCCTGAACAAAGCCCAGTCAATAGCAGCAGGCACTTGAAAGTTGACAGTTTTCACTGAGTATAATCGAAATCCAGTATCTTAGGGATTTAACAGAACCAATGGAGGTATGCAATGCCATAATCTCCCAAGCAAAGAGACACTTAACACGAACTTCATCATCCAAGCCTCTCTAAGGGGCCTTTTGGCAGAAACTAAAGGAGAGTGAAGGAAGAATCAGGCCTCTCAGTCAATTTTTCCAGAATACTAAAAATATTTTAGCTGATATTACTCTGAGCTGTACAGAATCCTATGTTTTCTTGCACTGTTAATTTTAATGTTCTCTGTTTTTATACTTATATTTAGTTTGCAGAAGGAGTAATGACAGACTCTCCCTGCATTTTTAAAATAGAATTTTAAAATAGATTTTTTGCATGTATTACTGCACAGAAACAGATTTATACTGGCTACGCATTATCTTTCTTTAAATGCCACAAAACACAATTACACACACAAAGACAACCTAAATAAAAGACAAGCTATCTACATGATTGCTTCCATTACTGCAAAATTACAGCCCAGATGATATCCCAAGCTTTACTGAGCCAGATGGAAAACATTATCATATCAAATGTTATCTATGCATCGGATACACTACACCCACAATGAGATGCATACACAGATCAGAAGCATTTCTACAGAGATCACCAAAGACATGAATATACTGTACTGTGTAAAAGGATACTAGGAGTACATGTGATGCTAAAAGAACAAAGGTTTATGATGCAGAACCCTTATTTGTACAGTTTGATACTGAACCAATGTAGTTA